ATGATTCCTACGTACGTCACTAATCAATTTGCAAGTTTGTTTTTTTTTTCTTTCAGTTTTCTTTCGAAGTTTATTGCTCACTTCTCTTCTTTTTTCAAATCTTTCAGGCATTATTCTTTGTGTTTCTCTTAGCGTTCATATTTTAATTGGTCTCCATTTAAATCTTTCTTTCCTTCTTTTTGTGAATATTGTCAATTTTTAGTCCTTTTCTTCAGATCTTTGATTCTTTCTTTCTTTTTCTCTTTCATTTTTCACTCTTTGTTTTTTACAATTTTTTATTCCTTTTTCTTGTTTTTATGTAATTTCTTTTCAGTCTATTTTTCTTTATTTTGTGATGTCGACGAACACTCGTTGCCACTTTTCTGATGTCAATGAACACTCGTTGCCACTTTTCGTAATGTCAACGAATACTTGTTGTCACTTTCGTAATGCTCGTTGTAACAGAGACTTTGTAAACGCAGATACAACTATAGGAACACCGTTGAACAATACTGATGTCAGACACCTTGGAGTAACACTCGCACTAATAGTACTTGCTCGATAATACTCACCCGAAAAATAACCACCGAATAGCGATCCGAATACTAATCCTTACACTGAGATATTAACTAACCACCCCACACGGTCGGATATGGCATAAGGCCAAGTTTATTGTGGGGTATCCGAGCCCATAGACTCGGCCAAAATTTCCCCGTAGTCCCCGTAAAAAACGGGGTCGGGCAGCTGTCTCCCGAGACGAGACTCTGTCCTTCGACATAGTCGCGTCAAAGAGTTTGACCAGCACACTTTTAAAGTAATCCGGATAGTGAGATATTTACTAACCGCCCCACGCGGCCGGATGCGGCACAAGCCCAAATTTATTATGGGGTATCCGAGCCCGTAGGTTCGGCCAAAATTTCCCCGTAGACCCCGTAAAAACGGGTTCGGGTAGCTGTCTCTCGAGACAGGACTCTACTCTTCGATATAGCCTCATCTGGGGATCCTCTCTGTCCGGAAGGAGTGAGTTTGATCAGCACACTTCCGAATTAACCCGGACAGTGAGATATTCACTAACCGCCCACGCAGTCGGATGCGGCACAAGGCCAAGTATATTATGAGGTATCCGAGGCGTTGGCTCGGCTAAAAATTCTCCGTAGACCCGGTAGAAACGGGTTCGAGTAGCTGTCTCCCGAGATTTATAACGGATTAAAAAGAAAAACGATTTAAAACCAGAAAGAAAGGAAGAAAGAAAAATATAAAGAAAAGAAAGAAAGAAAAAAAGAAAGAAAGTATCAGTGATGAAAAGGAAAACGATGTAGAAAGAAAGAAACAAACAAATCATGGTGTAAAATAAAGGGAAAATATAAAGAAAAGAAAGAAAGAAAAAAAGAAAGAAAGTATCAGTGATGAAAAGGAAAACGATGTAGAAAGAAAGAAAGAAAGAAAGAAAGAAAGAAAGAAAGAAACCATGGTGAAAAATATAAAGAAAATATGCTGTAGCAGAAATGAAAATAGTGTAACACACTGGAAAAAGCAAATAGGATTGTGTAAGAAAAGTATGTCAACGGTCGTAGCATGCCAATGACGAGATATTTGGAATAAGGGTGGGGGCGCATAGATGCGTATTTATATCTTTCTCCGTGACATTAATGCGAAGGTTGCATAAAACATCGGCCTAGTTCCATAGTTCCGATCAACGCCTATTTGTGTCTGCTCGAAATAATTGTAAACGTGTCCTCAAAGAAACTATGTCTTTTCTGATAGAATACGGCACCGTATAGTCTCTAACAACTTTGGCTCTCATGATTCCTGGAGGCTATGTAATAGTGTATTAAATAAAAGTCTTCTATCTAGCCTGTCTTCACTCAATTTGAGGTGTTAACATTTGCTGATAAATCAGAATGTCTGCTTCGTAAATTCTCTTCCAATTCTACTCTTGACTCATCTGGAGCATCTTTGTCTGGGTTTCCACTTAGAGCTGAATCTCTATCGAGGGGTATGCCTATAATTCCGTCCATGGCTTCTACTATCATCGCTAAACTGGATCCCCACAAAGTATGTGGGCTTCATGGTATCCCTGCAATAGTCCTTAAGAAATGTGCTCTCCGAACTGGACCCAGTTCTCTCTAAACTCTACAATAAATGTCTTTCTAATTCTTGTTTTCCTGCTTGTGGGAAATCCTCTTCTGTAGTTCCAGTCTTTAAGAACTCAGCCGAACCGTCTATTCCTTCTAACTATTGGCCTTCTAAATATTTTAGTCATGTACTAGAGGCTCTAGTCAAATCTGAATTGGTTAAGCATCTCAACTCACTGGGTCTTCTTTCAGATAAGCAATATGGCTTTCGTCTCTAAGTCAACTGCTGATGTTTTACCGATTATTGCTGAAAGAATTTATCAAGCTTTAGATCAGAGGTTCTCAACAGGGGGCGAATTTTGCATTATCGGGGTGAATTGTGACCTTAGTAAATTTATGGGGGAGGAGGAGAGCAATTATAGAATTTGGCCTATCTGGCCTGTCACCTTGAAAAGGAGGGGTGACGGAATGGCATTCTGACAAATGGTGAAAGGGGTGCATGGAGAGCAAGCAAGGTTAAGAACCCCTGCTTTATATAAGAATAGTGAAGTTCGAGTTGTTCTTTTGGACATCTCGAAAGCAGTTGACACAATTTGTCATATTGGTCTTCTTCATAAGTTGAAAGGTTATGGTTTTTCAGAACGAAGTTTTGAACTGGTTCAGTCTTTGTTATTAAAACGTAAAATGGAAGCTGTCTTGAACGGCTACTATTCTAGATCATTTTACGTTCATACAGCGTTCCCCCGGGGCTCTCTCTTGAACCTACATTGTTCCTAATTCTTATGAACGACCTTCTTGATTGCATCAATTCTCAACTCGGTGTCTGTGGTGATGGCACAACAATTTACTCATGTGTCAACAGTGCGTCTGATCGATTCGATAAGGTCAAATTGAGTGCATCTAGAAAATGACCCACATTCTGTTGTTAACTGGGCAAAGAAATAGCTTCTTAATTTTAACGCCTCCAATATGAAACCGCTCTCTATTAATCGTCTATCTTTCTGGTTTTTTTTACCCCCATAGCTAATGCTAACCTCCAGGAGAAGTGACTCGTTGCCCCTTTCCGGGCTAACGTTTTCCGTTGACATGAGTTGGAAAGATTATATTGAATCAACAGTTAAGTCTGCAGCTAGGAAAGTTGGTACAATGTGTCGCACCAGAAATTTTTTCTCGCCTGAAGCTATCTTGCAGATTTATATGTATGCTATTCGTCCATGGTTAGAATATTGCTGCCACATGTGGTCTGGTGCTTTTGCTATATATTTAGAGATCCTTGATAAAACAAAGCAGAGTCTGAAATATCATTGGGCCTAACCTTTTCCACCGCCGTTTTGTAGCTCCACAGTGCATTTTCTGTAAATAGTCTCATGGTAATTATTCTGATGAACTTTCCTCTATGGTACCGGAGACTCTATGAATTTAAGCGCAATACTAGATTGGCGGTAAGATGTTATCACCTTACAATTGAAATAACCGTAAGTTCTATACTAACAGTTTCTTCTGTCATACTTGTGGAACTATTTTCCGTCTTCTTGCTTTCCAATCAAATTTAATCTTCAAAAATTTAAATGTAATGTCGATCTTTATGTTCTGTTTTCTTAATTTATGTTCTTTTATTGTCCTTGCTCTTACATGTTTTCTTTTTTATATTCTTTCACACTTAGAAACCCCTTGCGTCTTAGTGGCTTTGTTGCCCTGCTTCGTTTGAAACGATTAAAAAAAAGCAGAAAAAAAACGATTTAAAACCAGAAAGAAAAGAAGAAAGAAAAATTAATGATGTATCATCCGAATTTTAAACTCAGCTCTTTAATTCTATCTTCTCCATCAAATTAATTTTCCTTTAACAGTTAATACGTTTTTTTCTCACTTCAGATATGTTGTGATGATCGCCACGCTTTGCAAATCATTTGACGAAATCTGAGCGAGTTTCCAATTTTGTCCCGTATCTTTCAGTCTGGCGTCTGATTTCCACTCGTCACGTATCTCTTAACGGGTGGCTCGCCACCACCTCGCCTCGGGGAACACGCGTCTCGGCGTCAAAAATTCTGTCTGACTTCGTTTCCCCACTTCTCTCTCTCTCTCTCTCCTTCCCCCTCTCTCTGTCTCTGTCTCTGTTTCTGTCTCTCTCTCTCTCTCCTTCCCCCTCTCTCTGTCTCTGTTTCTGTCTGTCTGTCTGTCTGTCTGTCTCTCTCTCTCTCTCTCTCTCTCTCTCTGTACAAAAGCCTACATCTATATCTGTTTGAATTTCGCATTTGGGACCCAACACACCACTGCAACTTCCTGCTTGGAATTTTTGAATGAGGTCTGGATCATTTCCAGGACAGACCTTAACCTGTCCTGGGATCTCTTGCGGAACCTAAAAAATTATCGTTTTAGCTCTCCTGGTATCCTGGGCTATCTCTTCAAAGATATAGAGGACAACAGAAATGTGGTTCCACAGAGGGATGCTGAGGATATCGTGGACCGAACAATTGATAACGACGAAGTTTTGGAAAAAATGGAAACAAAAAGAAAACTAATAGTTAACCTCAGGGAGAGACCGTTGAGCATTCTAGAGCATATAATGAGGAAGGAGGACTTGGAAAATCTGATACTCACGGGGCAGACAGAGGGAAGAGGAAGACAACATATAACATACTTAATAAACTTGAGTAATTGGATGGCCGAACAGGGATTGAGAGAAATAAAAGAAAGACAAAGTTTATTAAGAGCTACCAAGGACAGGAACTTGTGTAAAGCCATGATTGCCTACGTCCTGTACGGACACGGCAGATAAAGAAGAAGATATGATTTGTTCCGCAAACAATAATTGGCAGACTCATGTGAGTCTAGGTAAAAAAAAATTAAATAGACATAGAATTTATACGAACAACGATTAATAAATAGAAATCATACCAGGATTCATTATTGACGGCCGTAATCTTAATATAGGATATACCAACTTCTCGAGAGCGTATCTAGAACGCTTGCTTGGTCTCACGCTGTCCGCTGACATGAGGTGAAACAAATACATTGAATCAATAGCTTCATCTTCCGCAAGTGTTAGGGTTAGTGTCGAGCCAGGACGTCTCGTCTGAGTCCATCCTTCAAATCTATAAATCAACCATTCGCCCTTGCATTGAATATTGCTGTCATATATGGTCTGGTGCCCCCACTGTAAATCTCGAGGTCCTTGACGAAACCCAGAGACAAATATGAAATGTGATAGGTCCTGATCTGGCATCTACAGTCGCTTTCTCACAGACGTGACGTGGCTTCCCTCTGTCTCTTCTACAAGTATTTTCATGGCAACTGTCCCGACGAGCTACTTTCGCTGGTTCCTAGACTGCATGAATTTAAGCGAGCTACTAGACTGGCATCTCGGTTCCACCCTTTCACTGTCGAAATGGTTAAATATAACCGTTTCTTCTACTCAAACAGCTTCTTCTCTCGCACTTCCCGTCTGTGGAACTCACTTCACCGTGCTTGCCTCACTGATAACTATAATCTTCAAATATTCAAATGTAATGTCAATCGACATCTTCTGACACCTTGATCTTGTCCCACTTCCTTCTCTGTATCCTTTCCTCAAACACGCCTGTTTACTCTTGTTCTCAATCCTATGTAACCCCTTGCGTGCTAGTGACACCTCTGCCTTGCCTGGAGTGAATTGCTTAAAAAAAGTGTTGATAGCAGACAAGGAATGTAAACTACAGGCACTCCGACACAATGTAGTAAAAAAACGGGAAAAGTCTAAGCATAAATTTTAAGAAGATACAAATATTTAAATATTTGGAAGGGTATGGATAGCGGCTCAGATTGAGGAATCGGAGAGGCGAGTTCGAATTCCAGACAAATCCATTACATTCACTTACGTGCTAATACCCTTGGGAAAGGTATGAATCCTTTTGTTGTCCCCCAGCTACGAATAAATAGCAGGAAAGACCGGGTTCTATAGCTTTGGATGGCAACTGATCTACCGCAGAAATAAATGGCAACCGAATGCCGGGAAAAAATCTGCTTCGTCAATCATATATCGAAAGATACATAATCGCCTAAGCGTGTATCACGCATGGTACATAACTGACTGACTGACTGACTTTAATAGAAGACGGAAAAGCGGCACTGAAATCCGAAGATATAGAATAATGAAAATTGCATTTAACAACCTAAGAAAAATATTAAGAAACAGGAAATTTTGTTAGAAACAAAGAAAAGACTACTGGTGTGTTACGTAATATCGGTATCTCTACATGGCAATGGATGCTGGATAATCTCCTCACAGATGAAGAAGATGCAACAGAAAGGTGGTTATATAGAAGGACGCTGAGAATACCATAGACTGAACATGTGAGCAACAAGGAAGTTTTAAAGACAAAAGGCTACTTAAAATTAGAATCAGAAAAAAATATCTAGGACATTTAATGAGGAAAGAGGGCTTAGAAAATCTAACACTCACAGGACATATTGACGGCAAGGAAAGCAGGAAATAACCTAGCTTGGTTTGGCTTGTTGTGTTTTACGGTATATCAACCTCAATGGGTTATTTAATGCCGACAAAGTTTTTATTGCTGGTAATATTTTGCTTTGTCAAAAATCTATTTCTGGCAATAATTTTTTAAAAGTATAGCTAGTAATATTTTTTTTCCTCAAAAATGTATAGCTGGTAATATTTTTTTCAAAAATGTATTGCTGGTAATAGTTTTTTCTTCAGAAATTTCTTGCTAATAATAATTTTTTTTACGAAGTATTCTTGGTATTAAAACCCATTTTTACCCCAGTTTCGCCGTTAACTATATGCCCATAGCTGGGACCCTAACAGGTGCTACCACCCCGGATGAGGGTGAACCTGGGAACACCAGCAATTAAGAGATGGTTCCACGCTACTCAAAACCACTTGATCAGAGGCCTGGCTGCTGGACGTAGTTTATCGTCTTACCCAGGACGCGGATGTTAGTTTATCAGCATACCCAGGACGGGCGAATAACCTACCTAACTTGATTGTGCAAATGGTTGACAGAACAGGGTTTTGGGGATATAACATAAAGGTAAACATTGCTAAGAGCTACAAAGTTGTGGAGAATCATGATCGCCCACGTCCTGAAGGGTTGCGGCACATAGAGGGGGAATATTAACAAAGCATTTTAGAGAAAGAAGAGTAAAGAAAGAAACTTCGTCGTTGAAGTTAGTGATAGTTAATGTCTCTGAACTACTTATATAGGTGTCTCGCGGGAAAAGCGAAAAAGGTACGTGTTGTCGCTCTGAAGGCATAGGCGAAAGAGTTAAGCATTGGGGTTTAGCTAATTTTCGTGGGTATCTGTTCACTTTCTGACCGTGAGACTCGAGTTCGAATCTCACCGTAGTTGTATTTGTTCGTTGAGATGACTTTTTGATGTTATTCCAACGCGTGTCACCTTTGTACGAAAACGATATCAGGCATTGACCCAAGCTTTGTCAGTAAAATTCGCATAGCTAAAGCCTGGGTTGCCTTGAATAAAATAAGTAATCTGGAAATCTGATCTACCAGGCAACCTCAGAGATACTTTCGTGTTATTGGAGAGTTGGTTTTAATGTATGGTGCCACTGCTTGGACCTTAACTAAAACAGTTTAATCTAAGTGAGATGGAACCTACACACAAGATTCTGAGAGCTATACTTAACATCTCTTGCAGACAATAAATAAATCACAGCTCTATGGACCTATCTGTAATATTTCTACAATCTTACGTAAATTCAGAATACGCTTTGTAGGATATTGCTGGCGAACAAATCAAGAACTTGCGAGCAATCTACTGCTCTGAACACTTAGTATGTAACAAGACGGGATGGTCGCTCCAGAATAACCTGTAGTGTATAAGTAAACCCCATTAAAGTGCATCTGCTTGGCGCGGACTATCTTGAGGACTAGCAGAGAAAAAGAGGTGACACTCAACATCTGGACAGCTAAAACATAAACAAGGGACTATTGTTCACGCTAACTCCCTGAATCCACGGATACAGGTCGCTAATCAAAGTCATCCTCATTCATCTTCTGAATTAAAGGACCAAATACTATACTGGCGACGATGATAAGATCGCATATTAATCGAATCACCTAAAGAACCATATTTTATCCCTCTTCTCCGTTGGCATGCGTGTGCAGCTTTTCTATCAACATGGCGGCTATCCCACATACGCTACATTAACGACATTGCAGCAGGATTATGATGGTTGACAGGAAAGACTCAAGAATGTCCGAGCAAGTGCGACCGAATACAAAATAAAAACTTATTTTTAGTGGACAGCCGTATTTGAGTAGAGGCCCCGTTTTTATTTTAAACATTATTTATTTTGTCTACCGGCCTGTGTACTTGAGAAAATGTTCTCCTCCTGCCAGCACGCATATTTTTTTTATTAAGAAAAGTTTATTAGTTAAAGTTATTTAAGATTTATTGAGGAGGAGGTTTTATGATTATATATATATATATATATATATATATATATATATATATATATATATATATATATATATGGATTTTATATATATTTTTATGGATTATATATATATATATATATATATATATATATATGAATTTTTTAATGTATTAATCAGACACATTTTTATTGCTTAAACGTTATTTTTAGTGGATACTGTATTTGAGTTTATTTATTAAACAGTATATTTATTAAACAGTATATTTATTTATGAGTTTATTTATTAAACAGTATATTTATTGATTTATTTTCATCTACCGGCCTGAATATTCGCGAAATCTTAGAGAAAAATATGCGCTCTCTGACGGTTTTCCCTAGTAGAACGCAGGTTCGAATCCTGCCAGACTGCGCATATTTTCCTCTAATAAAATTCCTCAAATACACCCCCATATATATATATATATATATATATATATATATATATATATATATATATATATATATATATATATATATATATAACTACCACTTTTTTTTACAGTGGAAAGCCATCTCTTCAACGTTGAACTGAGCGGCCATGGACTCTCAGATGACTTTTATCATCATCATCATCTCCTTGACTTTTGTAATCGTAGGAGACATCCGAATGCTGAAGACACTGAATCTCCCATACAACGGTCTAGCAATTGCAGCCATCAGCAATTTTAGTATAGTTATACTTTGAAGCCACCAAATATACTACTACTGCTATTACTACTATTACTACAACTAATACTACTACTAATAATACTACTACTAATAATATATTTATTTCTCACCGTTTAGTGCATGTCTGAGTTTCATTTGTGCC